GGCAAGTCTGACTCTATGAATCTGAGGGTCTCGGGGCTTGGGGTCTAACCAGCTTGGCTCCGATGCTCTTCCGTGGTGTGGCCTTGACTTAGCGCTTCTTCTTCCCTCAGTTTCCTTACTTGCAAAACAGAGGGAATAATAGCACCTGCTTGATAGAGTTGTGATTGTTAAATGAGCTATTCACAGAAAATGCCAGAGTCACCCCTAGCACTTAAATGCTGATGTGATGTAAGCTGTTGTGATTTCTTGCTATCCTAACTAATCAAATTTGCTTTTAACAGCAGTAGCTGCAAAGTTACATTTGCTTTCAGAGAGCAGCCTGCCTTTTGATATGTAGTTACATTTCATTATGAAATAATGTAAACTACTCTGCTTTAGAATTAAATTCTCAGGCTCCCGGCAAAGGTTAAGATCTGAATAAAGGCATGTGCAGCCAACAGGGATTCTTGACTTTGGTAAATGTCAGTGATTTGCTCTTTTCTGCTTAGTGTATGTAACCTCCTTCCACGCTGTCCATCCCGGCTTTAAGAGCAGCTAAGCAAACACGAGAAGGAGAATTAAGCTGATTCTGTCTCTCAGCTTTCCTGCCTTTGTAACATGATTATTAGATACCGCTTCCTGTCACTGTTGCACTGTGTGGAGCCACATCCTGACAGCCTGCCTGCCACAAGCTCGTGAGACACAGGTTACACCAATGGCTCTGTGGTTGTTTTTCCAGATGGGAGTGCTATAGGGGCCTATGCATGTGACAGTTCTCTCTCTAATGGTGGGGTAAAGGGAAGGTGGAGACGTTGATTGGAACAGCTTGTCTAGGTTAAAAAGAAACAATGCCAGTCTGCCAGGCCTTTGGCTTTGTATTGGGATACCATTCCCCCTCCCCCCCCTCCCGCCCCACTCAGCTTCCTCTACACGTGTAGAGAATTAGGAGACTGGCAGCATCAGCCTTATCCAGTATAGAGTATGCATAGCAGATGCGCATTGGACTCTGTACTAAGTGCTGGGAAACATCAAGATAAATATGTTGCAGTCTCTTCTCTCAGGGCATTGGTAACTAATCAATGGAGGGCAATGACAAGAGGGCTGGTGCCTTGGGAAAGCTGTCATCCAGAGCTGTGCACTGCATGCTGGGGGGGCGGGGCAGGAAGAGAGATTTCATGGAGTGTTTGGAACATTAGGCTTTCAAGGATGAGCTTGCTCAGAAAGAATGGTAGAAGGAACGGTCTTCTCACATAGGTATTGCACACCAAGCACAGATCCAGATGTGGTGTATTGTAAAGGGGTGGTACATGGTTTGGGGTGCGTGGTTGCACGTAAAAAGATGGAATGAAAGGTTAGCAGTGAAGGCTAGGCTTAAGCATGGCAGGATCTTGACTTCTACTTTGCACCATATCTTGTCAGATGTGAAGTCGTGGACTATACTGACTGCAGATGCCTGTTTTAGGATAATCACTGGGGAGACTAGGCTGAAAGCGGGAAGAATTGATTGAAAGCAAATTTAATCCCTGTAAGAGATGAGGAAGCCTGTTCTATGGATAGCGTGGAGGAGATGGACATGGTGAACGATTGAAGAGGTCATTAGCACTTGATGAACAAATGGTCAGTGACGGAACCTTTGCAGAAGCCTACCTTGGTGTGTGGTGACAGAGATTAAGAGGCAGGATGGAGTTGTTATTGATATATGTCCAGTGAAGTGGTGCCCCAGTGGTGTGAATGTCTCAAAGAAGACATCTAAGGCAGGACTAAAAACAAACTCCCATACATAAGACATTGAGGTTGTGAACAACCCTGAGTACAAATTACTGTAGATTGGCTGTTGGGGGTGGAGAAAGTGATGGAATGCTCACTTTCTCCAAGTTGTAACACTGTTCTATGAGAGTGTAGTTAGCGATGGTTGGCGTTTGTGAAGAGGGATCAGCATACACATCTGGGTCTCCAGGTACTTGGATCTCAGTAGTTGGGTTGGAAGCATGAGAAAATGGGGCTCCCAGTCAATAACTTCCTGTTTTACTTTCGGGGCATCTGAGAGCCCTCTTCTTCAAACTAATCATGCAGTTCTGTCTCATTAGTTTCAGAATATTCTAGAATGTAGATGCTTAGGACTTTGTTTCCTAGCTTCAGACCATGCTGGTGTACACGCTCTGGGAGGCCACCCAAGGCCATCTTTCCACTGAGGTACTTGATGTCCCCTTGCTGTGAGTGTTAGATAGCAGCTCACACCTGGGAATTGTGCTCGGCAGCCCCCCTTTAGTTCAGGGATAATGAGAGGCCCAAGTGTAGTGACTTGTCAATGGAGGTGGGGTGCAGAGGGCCCCTCCTTCAAGGTGCAATCATTTTGAAAGGTCAGCCCCAGCAGCCCAGCTCCCATTGAGTCAGATGAAATTTGTTTTCCACTGCATCACGGTTCAGCTTTTCCTTCTGCTCGTTCCTACTCTCCCTGATGGCCTTGATCCCCAGGCTGTCCTAAACTCACCCTGTGTGATTCCCTGAGATCCTGAGTCTGTTTTCAAGGGAATGAGCCTGACACAATGATTGTTGCCAGAGCTTTGTCTGCCCAAGACCAGTTGCAGTGGAACTGTCCAGGTCATTTGCATGTGAGCCCCTTTGCTGTATGCAACAAAAAGACTCTCCCAGCACTTGGAACTGAAGTCTTCATATTGAGCCTCTTTGGCTGTGGTTGGCTAGGTCATATGCTCCTTCAAAGCTAATTAAAGGAGAGAAAACCATGGAAATGATCCTCCTGAGGTCTGAGGGGGCAGGCCATGGGGGATCAAAAGGTGATCATGGCCCCACACCTGTTTCTGCTTCTGTCCTCACACTCTGATGAATTGCCAAGCTCCTCAGACAGCCACCAGCCACCATTTCCTCTTCTTTTTTCTCTAGCCGAGAAAGATCAGAGTTGAAAATACAGCTGAGATAGTTCAAGAAAATGTAGAGCCTTTCTCCAAATATGTTACAGAAACACCCCTGAGCAAACAAACTACCTAGAAGCATAACCTCAGAGCAGACAGCAGCTGCCAGCACGTAGGGGGATTTTTCCTCCCCTTTTCTGATTTCTTGCTCATTCTGTTTATAATAAAACCTGCTGCTCCAATGGTCTAGTAGTTTAACAAACACAACTTTTCTCTCCCATTCTGAAGTCTCCCAGGTGGCCTTGGCAGTGTCTTGCAGCCATGCGATATTGGTCAGCTCAGAGCTGCAGTCCTCCAGTGGTATTTTATGTTTCATGCTTCTCTTTGGAACAGTCTCTGCCTCTGCCTCTGCAAGAAGGGAAATAGCTTAAACTTGCAGACTTGATTTTTAAGGACATGGGCCTGAAATATGGTTGCCTGTTTTTCTGGCTCTGTACACCTAAATGATGCTAGCTGTGTTCTTCTTCAGCGACTATGTGCTTAATCATATGGTACTGTTATCGTTTTTGCTACTGTATTTCTATCTGACTCAAAGCCCGTAACCAAAGGCTTTGGGGGATGAGGGCCTCTCATTTACTCTAAGGAAAGCTAACTGGTCACATGGAACTCATTGACCTCCTTTCCCAGGCGTAGCAGAATAGCTGCTTCCCTTGAAGTGGTCCCCTCCCTACAGGTGGAGTGGGATGGCCCAGCTTGAGAGGGATTACTATTAGGTGTTAATAGATCCCATAGAAGGCAGCATGCAAGGTCCTCACCTACTCCTCATAAGAGCCTTGCAAGGTAGAAGGCCATTCCCACCTGGTAGTCTGACTCAGTGTTCTCCCAGAATCACCCAGCCAGTGCAGGCAAAGCCGGTCTTTATAGCTGTTCTGTTTGAATCTAAAGCCAAAGCTGGGTCCCTGTGGCTTTTCAGTGCCCAGTGCTTGGCAGTGCTTACATATAAGTGTGATTCCATTTGTGCCAGCAGTTGCAGCCTTTCTTATTTGTCCCTCAGTGTATTTTTAAAAACAAATGCCCAACTCAGTTAAAATGTTGAAGCTCCTTCATGAGCTAACACGTTCAGTGTTTTTTGAACAGTCTTTTGACCTGGCAATATTGTGCTTAAGTGTTGGTATCATTCGCTCCAGTGAGATAACTGCCTTCTTCTCCTCCTCCCACCAACACACACGCGTGTGCACATACACACACACACCCATCAGCACCCTTCCCCTGAGGAAGGTGTGATTCCTAGACTTTGTCCCAGGTCCCAGCTGGTCCACTTGCCCCTGCAGGTGTTTAAGCTTGTGACCTTTGTTTGCCTTTAAGGAAGCAGATTCTGCCCAGTTAGGAGTCTGTGGGTAGAGGTCAAAGTCAACTCTTGCCTCTGTTTTAAATTTTATGAGCTTTGATTTTTTTTTCCCAGTAGTGACTCAGTAATGATAGCGGTAATTCTTAGGCCTATTTTTTTGTGCTGTAACATTTCGTTGACTTCAGGGTTAGCGAGCACCTGTTTGGTGGTAAGAACTTGCGTAATTCTCTAATTCAGTTTGTATTCCAATCCTGCCGTGACCCTGCAGGTCACTGCAAGGGTATAGTTTGCAGTGGCAGCGTTATAGAGAGTAGGCTCTGAGAGAATTGGTGAGGTGACTGTTTTCTTTTGGAAACTATTGATCCTTCAGAGGTAAAATGGCCCTGCAATGCAGAAACATCCTTGATGGCCAAGTTGAACACAGCAGTGCAGATGCTTCAAAGTGAAGAACCTTTAAAAACAGAAAAAGATGGAGCCTCCTCAGGACCCTAAGTGCTTCATTTTACCCTGATGCACCTGCTAGTCTGTGCCATCTGACAGTGGGAAGTGTGTTGGTTTTTTGTATTGTTTCAATGGAAATACATTTTTCTTAAACACATCTTATGGAAATGTAAAATGGAAACAAGATGGAGTTTCATAGCTGCAGGTGAATTACATGTTGAAATATTGTTAGTACTTAGTAGTAACACCCAAGAACTCCCAACGATGAAATTGTTGTTTGCTTATTTTAAGTAAACATTTGCCTTGGAGTAAAACAGTGACTGGACTGTTGTTTTGACTTTTTATTGTTTATTTTCTTTCAGGATCCAGCAGGGATCTTTGAATTGGTGGAACTTGTTGGAAACGGGACCTATGGGCAAGTTTATAAGGTCAGTATGTCTCCACATACTGTGCATGGTCTATGTGTGACTTTGATGCATAAATGCCGAATAGCATTGCTATAGGTCTGTTCGTGAGTTTCTCATAACAAATTTTAAGTAAAATAATATATGTGTCAACCGACCATCTTTTAAGCCATCTCTGTAGTCCCATGGCTTAAACTGGACTTTTCCCCTCATTGTGTATCACAGTATTTCTTTTCTCTCTGACACCTGAATATCTATGATGCATATGTGAAACTTACTAAAGTTTAGTTCCCATTGCTTAGAGCCAGAAATTCATGCTATTAAACAATTGTAGCTGGAAAAGTAGGTTTGTCATTGGTGCAGGATGTGAGTTAGATGAATTGGCTGGATAGTATTAGCAGAAATCTTAGCTACCTCACAAAGTCCTAACGACAATGAATTTTACAAGTTGGAAAACAATTAAAAATTCAGTTTGCTGAGGCATATTCCCTTTTTGGCCTTTTACCAACTTTTGCTTTCAGGTTTGCTCAAAAAGTAGCTCCAAAGGGTATTTGCATGAATAAGTGGTCTGCAAAAATGGTTATTTGAAAGTAAGGATTGTTTTTATCATCAAAAGGAATTTCAGAGGAGTGGCATTTGGATCAAAGCTTGAAGTGTTTTGACATCATTATTTGTAGGGAAATATCCATTGTTTTTTATAATGGTGATGATGTTGGTTAGTGTCTCTGAGTTATCTGCCATTGTTTTTTTTTAAAATTTTTTTCTTAAGCATAACTTATCAATTGTTTAAAATTATTGTAGAAGTCATTTATCCAGCTTGTAGCATTTTCAGTTCTGCTCAATGTGAGGTGTGTATCTACTGGGTGTTCTTGAGAATTTGATTTTCAAGCGCAATTGGAATGGACACACATTTATATCTTTACTTAATAGGAAGTGCCCTTTGGTGTCCACTCTTGGGGAAAATTTCTCCCCTGCAAGAAGCAATAATTTCCTGAAATGTCAACTCTCTCACAGTTCGACAAAATGTGGTCTACCCAAGCTGTCCCTTGACATTGATCTTGTCTGACACAGAAAGAAATGTGTCTCTGCAACTGCTTTTAAATACTTGTACTTTCAATGCAGGTAATTAGGTTGGAAGATTGTGTCACTGCATTTTGAGAAATCAGATTGAACTTGTGCAGCAACGTGGCTAATGAATTAATTCTGATTTAGGTAGAAAATTACTGCTGATTTGCTGTCACGATGGCAGAAGGACTCTGACCTGCTCTTGGTTTTCTGCCAGTGTGTCTTAGCTCTGCTGCCCTGTAGTGTGCTTTCCAGCCCTAGAGCACACAATTAGGGGGAATTCACAGCTTGACGCGCTAAGCTGAGAAGTGCAGCTGTACAATTAAGGGTGAGAGTGTTTGGAAAGTCTGGAATTATCTCTGATTTCTTGTCACCTGGAAAAGAAAAGGGAAATATGGCAAGAAGCCTCAAATCTTTTGGGGTGGGGAGGCACAGAGGGGCTTGGTGGTGGGCATGGGGAGATTGCGAAGGTTGGCTCTGATGAGGTGTTGTACTTGGGACCAGAGGCTCATCTCCTTCACCAGCCCCGTGCATTATTTGTGGCCATACCAGCTGTACTGTGCTATGTCAAAGGAGTGGGTGGAGGAGTATGTTAGAAATGCTGTATATAAAGTTAAGTACATCTCTACCCAGTCACGGCCGGTTTCTAGGCAACAAGATGATGTTAAGTGGTACTGCTTGTGAACTGTTGCTCATGTTTTTGGAGGTCACTGCTTCAATCCTCTTGCATCCCTGAGTTCTGAAGGATTGAAATTGAATTAAAAAAATTTACCAAATCCAAACTTATATATGTAAATCTAAAGAAAATTAAGCTAAGGGGTGTCTTTTCACAATGTGTTTCGTAACTTTTTGTGGAATAAGTATGCTTTGAAAACACAGTAGGCATAAATAGAAATTTTATAGACCTAAGAAGAGATCTTTCTACATTAAACTTCTACAATAAATATTTTCTTTCCATTAAGTGCAGCTGTAAAATCTTTCAGTGTTGTTCATGGCTTTCATAAAGTGAGGTATGATTTTATGAATGTCTATGTGGATACAGCCTTCATTTTATCAGAAATTTATAAGTTTATTTTTATAAGCTGCCCTAAGGGAGTCATAATAAACTTTTATTTACAAGGTTTTTTTTTTTAACAAGCACAGTTAAAAAAAAAGTATATGAGTAGTAAGAGGTTATTTTCTGAAGTATATTTGTATGTGAGCCAGTCGTTACACCATGATGTGGAAATATAAATATTTCATAAAACGGTGGTTTGATAATGTTTAGCTTTTCTAAGTTGCCTCTTGTCTGTCTCCTTAGTCTCATGCATGATTACTAGTTATTTATTGTTCAAAGACTTATTTAAGGGGTAAAGTGACAGACAGCACTCTCTTCTGTATTCCCCAAATGCTCCCAGATGTGACCCAGGTGTCCCATTTGGGCAACAGGACCGCAGTCCTTGCGCCGTTACCTCCGTCTCTCGGGGTCTGCATTCACAGGAAGCTAGAATTGGGAGCCTGAAGCAGAAAACGAACCAAGGCTGTCTGATGTGGAATGTGGGTGTATTAACCGTCAGGCCGAATGTCCGCTGTGGTTACCTGTTCTTCACAGTGTGTTCTGCTTGCCAGTAGTACAGTGGTCTTGGATTGTTATGCAGTAGTTGAGCACCCGTGTTTGTACCTGATGTATGGAACATAATGGTTAGATAATTAAGAATGATGACTGTGTTATGGCTTTTTTTTTTATTGATTACATTGCATTATGTGACATAGTTTTATAGGCACTGGGATTCCCCCCACTCCTCCCCAAACCCTCCCCCCATGGTGGATTCCTCCACTTTGTTGCATTACCACAGTTCAAATTCAGTTGAGATTCTTTCCTTGCAAGCATCTACAAAGCATACAGTCCAGCATTTTATTGTCCAGAGAAGTTCAACGGTTTCTTGGGGAGACCTTCAGATCTCTGGTCTGAAGGTAGAGCCGGCAGAGTATCATCCTGATCAATTAAAAGCCCCGACATAACATCAGTAACAATTTATAACGTTATGGAATTGATTGACATAGTATTGAGTAACCAGTATGTTAAAAAAAAAAAGAAGAATGCGAGTTCTGAACTACATCCTGTGACTTCTTCATTGACATTTCAATTGTTAGTTTATATACAACCGGATTCTATACACCTTAAAATGGCTATAGATTCCTATTCAGCTGTCTCGTGTCTATTTTTGTGTTATAGCTTCTTAAAGCAATCTTTCACCGACAGATAATAATTGCAGATATGAGGCACAATGTGGCATTTCTGTTCATGTATGTAGTGTGTACTACACCAAGGCTGTTGAAGAGGAAACCTATACCCTGGATACCATTAGAAAACAAACCCGTGACAGTCAACGTATCTGTTCGATGAAAAGTCTTGGCTGTTTGTGGGCGTGCCACCACCTACAGGGAACGTAATAGATTCGAGGCACATTTGCTAAAATAGATTAAACAATTATTTCATCTTATTGAAATAATTGATGTTTATTGTTAAAATGCCACTCCAAATTAGCCATGGAACTCAAACAAATGTTGAGCTATCCTGTTTCCTTAATAAGCTCGCTTGAAATAAATAGCACTTATTAGAAAGAGGATGGCATGCTTCATCCCAAGGTGACAATATGATTTGGGAATGTGAGGGGTTTCTCAGTATTTCTCAGTTTCTTAAAGCTGTGAAGTGCAAAGTAGAGAGGCCACGTGGGTGGTTGCGAGTGGCCTGTGAGAAAGGCCCTGGCCATGTGTGCATGTTGTTGAAAGATGACCAGGGCATGCATAAGCCATCCCGCCAGACCAGTTCCCTTCTAGCTGGCTGTGCAGCCCGTTGTTGAGCTCCTCCACTCACGTGGACCTCATTATCTCCCAGGCCGGCAGTTGGAATGTGTGTTATCTAATTGAGCTGAGCTATTTGCTGCCCTAAAATATCTATCACTTCAACCTTGTTTTACATCTGGAGTAGTTGAGAACTTACAATAGTCCTCTTCCACAAGAACGTAATCATTCAGATATTTGAAGAATTTTTTTTTTTTCCCTGAGCAAACCAGGACACTATGAAAATTCATAGAAAATGTACGTCGTGAAAAAAAGGACCTGCATTTCCAAATGCTTTTGCGCCAAAGGAAGCCACTCCTTTGCTTCTGTTTTCCCAAACTTTGGAGTTCTGTGACATAGTCGTGTCTCGTGTTCTCCAAACAGCAGAGCCTCAGTTGCTTCATTCTTCATACAACATAGATCCAAACTTGTTCATTATTGCAGCTTCTGTCCTAAAATTATTCTCAGGTATTACTAAAAATGACATGTTTGTGTGGGTGTAATTCTTTATTTCATGATACCTTTGTATCTTGTCTTTGACGTCATATATTCTGTTTTCGTGAGAACCTCGTCCATGGGGTCATTGTGTTAGGAATCTCTGTGCCTGGAGCCTTCTGCCCGGTGCTTTTGGGATTGACCACTTCTGCAGATCTTGGCCACATGTCACATCCTCCAGCAATCCACCTTCATCCCTGTTTCTCCCGCAGCCAGCAGCTGGTTGTTGTTCCTTCCGCCATAGCCTTCATTTGTCACATCACGTGCCACGTTGTCTGGGTGGAATTACCGCTGAGTGCTTCCATGTCTGTGTTTTGAACTCTCTAGACCCATAAATGAAAGGAAAATGAGTGAGAAACTTCGTCTTGTGCCTCACTGTCTTTTCCTAGATCTGCCGCGGAGGTGATGTTGACACTGATGAGCCTCAGGTCTCAGTTTTCCTTCCGTTTATACTTCTTTTCATTTTGTTTCCAAGTTCTTTCATCATGTGCCACACACTAGTTGTCCAACTTCAGTAAGGCATATTTGTACAAAAGTAATAAACAGTAAGCTCTAACTTGTTCTTATCTTGGAAGATACATGTGGATTTTTTGCTGAGTTGTCAGTTTATAGATACAAACCATGCTAGAAATTCATAAAAT